TCCTTGTTCATGCTGTTGTAGTTCCCACTAAGTTCCTTATAATTCTCATTAAGTTCCTTGAGTATCCTTATAACTGTTACTTTCAATTCTATATCTGATAAATTGCTTGCCTTCATTTCATTTAGCTCTTTTTCTGGAGAATTCTCTTGTTCTTTAATTTGGGGCCTGTTTCTTTGTCTCCCCATTTTGGCTGTCTCTTTGTGTTTGTTTCTATGTATTAGGTAGATCTGCTATGACTCCCAGTCATGGTAGGGTGGCCTTATGTAGTAGGTGTCCTGTGGGATCCAGGGGAACAGTCTCCTTGATCTCCTGAGCTGGGTGCTCTCAGGATGTCCTTTGTGTGGGTTATATGAGCCCTCCTGTTAAAATTGCGTCTTGATTGCTATTGGCCCACTTGTGCATGGGATTGACCCTCAGGCTGGCTGACTGTGAGGCTTACCCCCCAGCATGGCAGGCAAGCTGCTGTGCAAGTGCTGACCACGCGGAGCAGAATCCGCCTCAGCAGGGATGGTGCCTGCTGAGATCTCCCTGTGGGTGTGCTGCTTGGGAAGCTGACTGGGTCCTGCTCTGTACTGTCTGACGCTAGCCACTGGGTGTGTGGTTCAGGGGCTCTTGGGAAGGACTCTGATGCAGGCCAATGTCATATGCTGCCTGTGGCTGACCCTGGGCACCTGGGTGGAGGTATCAGTGATCCACAGTTTGTGGCTGCCTCTTCTGGCTCTGGGTGCACACAGGGAGGACCAAGCCGTGCACCAAGGCTGACTTTTACCAGCACTGGGCTCAGGGTTGTTCAGCAAAAGACCCAAAGCACCCAGAGATCTGGCTTTACCTGCCTCCACCTGCTGGCTGCCTGTTAGGCTGTTATGGAAAGAGCTCCCGGCTGAACTTCTCAGCGGGGTGTAAAGTCCACAGGGTGAAGTGAGAGAAATTCCAGGGCGGGGGGCCATTGCTTCCCTCCATGCCGATGCCCCGTGGATGGGAGTGCTCTGCCCGGGAAGGATGGTGTCTCTGGTGTGAGGGAATGACTCCACGTGGATTGGAGTGGCTGACCCTTCAACTGTCTCCCCAGGGCCACAAACCCCAGACTCTTCTTCTGAAACTCTAGTCCGCTCTGCCCTCATGCTGAAGCCCAGGGTGAGTGGCTGTGAATGGAATTTTGTGCACTGGCCCTTTAAGTGGGTGCCTGTGTCTCGAGCCATCTCCACGGGCAGACAGAAACCCTGCTTCTTTTCACAGCTGGATATCATGTGGCTGCTTCTTCCTGGCTCTCATGCACTGGGTTGGGAGCCACCTTGGGGTTTAGGCCCCACCCTTCTCAGGGGGAACTCCCCTCAGCTGAGATATTCCTCCTGCACCTCAGCCGCTGCCTGTGGGAGCCTGGCCGCCCTTGCTGCCAATCTTGATGTGACTTCTGTAAATCCTTGGTTATACGGCTTCTCTTCAGCTAGTCTTCGGTTGGTTATTGAGGATGATTTTTATATAATTTAGTTGTAATTCCAGTTTGATCCTGGGAGGGGGTTAGTGTAGCTTCTACCTTCCCTGCTACCATCTTGGATCTTGGGCAACTTTTTCCAGCAACTCAGCTCTGGGGCAAAAACAAGAGGAGGACAATAACTGGGAGGTGTCAATGAGGCCAAGAAAATCCATTTTAGAATAGACAAGGCCTGAATTTATCTCTCTGCAGGGAGAAAAGTCCAGAAGAGTGAGGATGAATGAAGATGTGAGGCCTGTATTAGCTATTTATTGCTGCATCACAAATTACTCCAACATTTTGCAGCTTAAACTACAAATATTTATTCTCTCACACCGTTTCTGGGTCACAAATCTAAGAGCAGCTTAGTTGTCATTTCTGGGCCGGGGGCCCTCAGGAGGTTTGTATAGTTTGGGCGGAACTTATGTTCTGAGGGTGCGGCAGCTGGAAGCCAAGGCCAAGGTGCCGGGAGGTTGTTTTGTGGAGGCCTCTTCCCGGCCTTCGGACAGCTGCCCGCTGGCTGCTTTGTGCGCATGTGGTCACCCCTCTATGCACGCGCACCTCTGGTACCTCTTCCTCTTCTGTTGTATTAGGACCCACCCTAGCAGCTTTGCTTTAGCTTCGTCACCTCTTTAAAGGCCTTGTCCCCAAATACAGTCCCGTCCTGAGAAGCGAAGGGTTAGGACTTCAACACAGGAATGTGGGGGGAGTAAAATTCAGACATAACAAGTTTCAGTCGTGGTGATGACCCCTTGCCTGGGGCTGGACGATCTGCTTCCAAGATCGAGATCATTGACTGTGGACTAGAGACCTCGTTCCTCACCACATGGCCTTTGCTTAGGGCTGCCGAGTCCTCAGACATGGTAGCCGGGGCGTCTGAGCGAGAGCAGGGAGCACAGAGCCTGTCACTCCCAGCTTAGAAGCTGTGGTCACCGCTCCACCCTGATCACATTTGTCAGAAGTGGATCATTAAGTCCACACTCAAGGTGGAAGTCTCCAGGCCCCAGGCCCCACGTCCCAGGCTCCAGGTTCCAGGCCCCAGATCCCTGGCCCGGGCCAGGCATCCCGCTGGCGCTGGCGGAAGACCACTGGGCCCTGCAGGGCGGTCAGGGCGGAGGACTGATGACCCGCACTCTCTCTGCACAGGTTTTGAGCTCGGGCTGTCGCTGTCGCAGGATGTCGGCCTTCAGACTGGTAAGCATTTCACCTGCTCCCCTCCCCCCTCCCCGGGGCGGTGGTAGGGAGTCAGATCCCTGCCGGAAGAAGGGAGGCGATGAGGCCTGGAGTCAGAGAAACAGGCCATTCTCGGCCTCAGCGGACCTCCTGTGCTCGGTCATCCCTCGCTGACATCCCGGCTTAACGTGTGGACGAGTTTCTCCGGACGCAGCTGAGAGAGCTGCCCGCCTCCCGCCAGGGCCTCCGCCAGCCGGCCGCCTGCTGCCCGGGGCAGGAGCCCCCGGGAGAGGAGCTGGGGGCTGGGGACACTGGCACGCCCAGCCGGGGAGCTGGGGCAGGCCCGTCTCACTGGGAGGCTCCTGGGTGGGCGGGGAGCCCAGAGGAGAGCCCCCCACCAGGGAGCCAGAGTCTGCCATGTCCTCCTGGACACAGCCCCGCAGCGGCGGGGGTCTTGGCTGCGGGGCCCACGCGCTGCGAGGGGCAGCCCCCACGCTGGGCCTCGGGCTCCTGTGGCTGAGCCCTCAGTGACCCAGACCCCCCTGGCGGCCGCTCGGTTTTCGGTTCTCGCTGGAGCTGCTTCGGGGGGAAACACGCGGTCTCAGGTTCAGGTTCAAGGCGCGGCTGCTGGCCACTCCGTCACCAAGGCCAGGCGCCGGCAGCTGGGACGCGGGCCCCCGGGCGGGCGCAGGA